CCCTTCTTGACCACTTGAACCACTTCCAACAATATTTTTTAAAAACAATACTTAAAAAAAGGAAAACAAACCAAGAAACCCCAATGTGCTAGATATAGCATCTGACTTTGCACGCTTCCTCTCTGTGATGAAACCTGCAGCCACCACTGTCCCTTTACGAGGCCTTAGCAAACCCTGGCAAGTCCACATCCGTCACTGGATACGCAGAAAGCCACACTATCATTTTCTTAGACAAACATCCTGGGCAATTTGGCTTCTTTTACTTGGTCATTAATACAACCGGTTCTGCCGAGTACCTTAGGGGACCTTGAAAGACTAGTTCTTGTTACGTTAGCCTCCTCACTGGCTTAGCATTTTGGTTTTTAATTCTAACATATTTGCCAAAGGCTCCCAGGTACCACTGAAAGAAATACCTAAAGTAAACAAAGGACATTTTTCCTCCTTAAGATCCATGTCTCCCTGACATGATGGGCAAGGTTTGAGGAATGCCAGGAGCACGTGAGTATGTGCGTCACTGTGCGTGTTTATGCGAAACTAGGACTAAATGTTTCCGGCTGCAACACTCCTTGAGCTCCTTCTGCCACTTCCCAGTTTGGCTGAAGCTGTTGGAACAAATCCCTCTGCCCTTTAAACCTCTGATTTAAGCTAAAATGACACCTGTTTGGCTACTTCAGGGACCAGGGGAGTGAGAAGAGTAACAGTGCCCCCTACAGGTGTGTGCCTATGACAGTGAATTTGACAATCTCAGGGGCCTCCTGAGCAGCAGGATCGCGTCCCCTGGTATCTGGCCTGATGGCATATGCAAGCTGGCGATTAATGGCGAATAAACGCCTGATGCTTATTGCTGGTATCTCATGAAGGCCAGAGACTGGACCCTCTGTGTTATCTCTGCAGCGAGCTGTGGGAGTTACAGCTGGGTCTCTTCAGCTGGTTTTCCCATTTCTCTTTTCCTGGTGCCAGTACCCCTTTCCTTTCAGGAAATTTCTCCCCAGCTCCAGGTGAATCTAGTGGGTTTGACAAGCCACGGTGTTGGATCCTGTCCTTGGGGGTGAGATTATGATCCAACCAGGCCAATCTTAGGCCTGCATCCTTGCCGAGTAAGCTGGAAAGCCGGAGGTCATCCCTGACACCAACCTCTCCCTCACCTGCCTCATCCAGGCTGTCCAGGGCTCCCAGTGCACTCCTAGATTTCCTTCCTGTCCATCTCTCCCATCACCCTAATCCCTGCTGTTATCACCTCTCTCCTGAACAGCTGTGTAGCCTCCAAAATGATGTTCCCCTGAAGAACTAATATGATTGTGTCGCCTCACCCATCCCTCATTTGTACAGAGATCTGAATGAAGAGAGGGATGGATCCATCAGATATCTGGGGATGAGAGAACAGCGAAACCAAGGCTGTGAGGGTGGTGGACTTACAGGAATAAAGTGGGACGACTTGGTCAAATGCTGCACAAAGGTAACAGGGATTGTGAGTTCCAGCTATGAAAGCTTGGGTGCGCCCTGGCTGGTATGCTCAGTGGTTAGAGCATCCGCCTGCGGACTGAAGGGTCTCGGGTTCGATTCCAGTCAAGGGCACGTACCTCTGTTGCAGGCTCGATCCCCCGCCCCAGTTGGGGCAAGTGCGGGATGTGTCTCACATCGATGTTTCTCTCTCTCCCCCCTTCTACTCTCTCTGAAAAGCAATGGAAAAAATATCCTCAAGTGAGGATTAAACGAACGAACAAACAAACAAAAAACTTGGGCACGTTGGTTGACTTCTCAGAGCCTCCTTTCCCTCATTAGCAGAACGGGTCTCCTCTGGCCCCACCTTGCCCCCTGCTCCTCCGCTCCAGTTCAGTGGCCCTGTTTCTGTTTCTCCAAGAGAGCTGGAAGCTTTCTCACACTTGCTGTTTATCTGCCTTAAGCACTCCTCTTTCCAGCCCTCCACACAGGCCCCGCATGTGGCTCAGCCCTACGCACACTGCCGGTCTCAGTTAATGTCCCTGGTCCACATGAGCCTTCCTTGTGCCCCCGACTCAGGGTGGCTTCCCAACCCGTACCCCCAACCCAGCACGTGCTTTGTGCTCTTCTCTCCAGGCTTGTCCTCCACAGAGTGGCTCACACTTGGGGTCTGTTCCAGTTGTGCTCTTTCTCGCAGAATATCTGGCTTCCCCATAAGACTGTATGAGCACAGGGACACCTGGCACGTCCACCACAGTGCCCAGAGCCCAGGCGCAGGGCCAGACACGCAGTAGATGGCCACTAAACACTCTCTCCCCTCTTGGCTGAATACCAGTCCACCCTGCTGGACGAGCGCACTGCTCAACCTTGTTCCTGCAGCTCCCTGACTAGAGATGCAGAGAAGCTGGTTGTCCTCAAGTTCATGTTGATTTACTGAAATCAAAGTCTGATAGCTGAATAGTAAGACAGGCTCAGCAGGTGGGATGAACCCAAGCAGGCATGTTATTTACGGTGTGTGCTGGCAGGCCCTTCCTTCGTCCCAGCCATGGAGGCGTGGAGCTCATTTCTGTTGAAGAAACGAAGTCTTTCTATACACCCTCACACAATAGGGTTACAAGTGGCAGAGAGAGCCCTGCTCTGTTTCAAAGCTGTGGGGTGCGGCTATAATTCACACAGTATCCTCACAATTGAGGAAGAGGAGCCCGAAAGAATAAAAATCGAACAGAACCACCTTTCTGAAACGGCATTCCTCCAAAGCCCTGTGCGCTCAGAAAAGGCTGGTGGAGTCATTTCTAGTTGTACTGTTGAGAATAGAGCTGTTTCTCTTTTAAAACTCTCAAATACAAAGATACTACTTAGTGACAATCATAGGTTCCTAACTTACAGTGATTTATTTTCAAAAGTAAAAAATATTTTTTAAAGAGCTGGATACTAGTTGCCTCTTAAAGCACTTTCTTCTCTTGTGTTATCTGTATTTTCTAAATTTTCTACAATGAGTGGCTATTGTTTTTGTAATAAGAAAACAAAAACAAAACAACAACAACTAAGCACCAAAACCAAAGTATTTCTGGTTTGGAATTTCTACCTTTGTTCAAAAAAGCAAGAAACATTCTTGTTACCTCTAACCAACAAAGATAATCATCAACTGCAAACAGAGAAATAAAATGCCTCAGGCTCTATATGCTCTGCCAGCTCAGACTTCTGTCTCTGAGAACTGTGCCACGGGGTGGTTTCAGGAAGGCCCTGCTGTGCCCCTTGTCACACAAATGAAAGGACAGTGATGTATCCCAACCCTCTTTATGTCCTTTATTGCTAGATCTTGCTCTGTGATCTGTACATGAATAGAAATTGTTAAATCGACATGTTTTCTGCTTGTCCCCACTCAGCTCGAAAGCAGCTGTGCCTCTGTTTCTTCTAATGTCAGATGCCCTTAAACCATCAGGGTCTGAAGATGTCATGAGTTAGTACAGTGTATTCAAGTAGAGAGTGCTTGGCACTGAGAAACCCCTACAGGGTTAGCTGTGTTTATTATTATCATCATCAGTGTAATTATTGGGCAGCAATGGTTATTCATATTTTTCTACAACCTGGGTGATATTTTCCTCAATAATATTCCCATCACCTTTGAAGGGCAACAAGCTCCTTTCCATTGTATCTTTTGGGGTAGCATTGGGTGGTCCTTTGAACCCTGATGTTTATGTTGCGTGTTTATGTTACAGCCACGATTGCCATCTATATGACCTGTAACAGAAGCATGTCCTGGAGCTACTGCAGGTTCAGTCCAGACCCCTTCAACACCGTGAGTATCACAATAAAGCCAGACACATGAATTTCTGGTTCCCCGGTGCATATAAAAGTTATAGTTACACTATAGACTACTAAGTGTGCAATAACATTATGTCTATAAGATCAATGTATATACCTTAATTAAAAAATACTTTCTTGCCCTGCCGGGCGTGGCTCAGCGGTTGAGCATGGGCCTAGGATCCAGGCGATCGGGGTTCGAATTCCGGTCAGGGCACATGCCCGGGGTTGCGGGCTCCATCAGTGACTCTCTCATCATTGATGTTTCTATCTCTCTCTCCCTCTCCTTTCCTCTCTCTGAAATCAATAAAGATATATTTTAAAAACAACAAAAACTCAAAAACTTTCTTATTAAAAATAAATGCTAACCTCACCTGAGCCTTCAGCGAATCATTTCTAGGATCCCTCTCCACCCTGAAGGCCCCCCAGGCCCTGCCCGGCACGTGGGAGGCCTGCCTCCTGCGCAGGCCGCCTGTAGGGGGGCGTGGGGTGCTGTGCGAGGCTCTCGGTCACAGACACGCTCCACCCTCCACCCT